GAATGTGATTTCTTGAATTAGCAATATATACAGCCAGCAGTAAACACAAAGTATGACTTTCAATATTTGAAACTGAGGAGCTCATTTCCAAAAAGACATACTGTGTCTCCCATTTGGGAAAGGAAAAACACAGACTCTCTTCCCTTAAAGTCTGAGAGCGCTGGCCTTGAAAGCAAGCACAGTTGCTGAGTTCTGACTCATCTTAAGACTTTTGCTTTCAAAGGGATTTTGGAGGATCATCATCTGCGATTGTTGGATGAATTTCATGTCTCCGAGAGTTTTCCAAGATGCATTTAGGGCATTAAATGATATGACTTCCTGAGTCATTTAATCAGGGAATATGGTGATTCATAGAAAGAGCCAAGAAACCTATTTAACCACCTGCATCTGTCAGTGTAGTAAATGTAGAGGGATGAACATGTGAGGCATGATGACAGTGATGAAGGGACATAATGATGGGAGTGTGAAGCACGACATCGCTGCTGACAGCAGGTAAACATGCTCAGTGGCTATACATATCCTTCATATACACACAGCAAAGTAGTATTGATCTCCCACCTGTTTTAAGGCCACAGAATCTCATTTCAGGACAGTGACAACCACCCTCCCAACTGGTCCGTGCTGTACACACACACACACACATTGAGGCAGTCAGCTGGCGATGAATGACCTAGATGAGATTGATTTAGCTGCAGGACAGATAACAGTGTGTGCAGTTCACCCTGGTCTCATCAATACCAGGTTTACCCACATCTAAGTTTTAACCTTCGTGGTCTCCTATTACCTCGCATATTAACTCATAGCCTGGAACACTGGAGCATCACACATCTGCTTGTTAATAAGCGTTGTCTTTGGCGGCGGATGGACGGCCGGCAGACTGTAAAATGATCGCAATAATTTGCAACGGTGACAGGCGGCAGGAGACGCTGGTAGTGATGTAAGCATACCCTGCGAGTACCAGAATGGGCCCGTGTGTATGTATAGACTGTGAGAGGGTGACCCATAGTCACACGCACATAAGCCGCTCATCTCATTTCAATTTAATC